ACTGAGTGTACTCTTATGCAATATTTAAGTGGTGTACGAAATGCTGTTTTATTACCGGTTTATTGACAGAGTGTGGATCACTTTTTGGATTAGTATTTATGTGAAAACTGGTTGCCATGGTGTTTGCCCGGTGCCATGGTATGTGGCTTATTTTAGACTGTTAGAATCGATCGTGTACAGGAGCGGGACACGGGTTGGGGATGTCTTTCCTAAATTTAGAGTTTTTTATGCTAATTGAGAGTGACCGACCTTTGACCTGGAGAGGCGAGCTGTCGGATTGGTTGAAGGAACGCGCTAGAAACGGGATAGAAAAACGGCCAGAAGATCTAAACTTGGTTACAGTTAGCTGCGGTTCCGTAGCTCTTTGGTGCGACCTACAATCGAATTTCGCCCTCACAATTTCATTTGGACGTTTTTTTTTAATTTTGTTGTTTTACGTCAAACATAGAGCTACGGGATCTATCACCGTTTAAAAACAGAAATCTGGCAAACGTAAATTAAATCGCTTTTGCTTTCGATTACGATGGTATGACGTACCTTTATTGTGATTTGATCGCTGGATGAATAACATACAAACTTTTGTTTGCAATTTGTGTTTATAAATAAGCAATAATTTGTGATATTTTCAAACAATTACCGCGGAAACCAAGCAAATTTCGAGAAAACGGCAACCATTGACATCCCACACTCCCTAGCGCAGAATAAATGTAATCTCGTTTGACGGTCATGTGATGCAGTGGTGGAAGAATAAAACTCACTCTTCCCGTTATTCTAATTGTTCCAAGAAAGCAATCACATACAGTATTTATAATTGTATGATTTTGTTTAATAATAGATACTAGTTGCATAAACGCAATTTATCTACTGATTTCGATCACGTGGTACAAAATGATAGGTCTCGCGTCATTTGCTATAAACTCTGGAATACAAAATGGCGTCTTTCGTCTTGTTATTTTTCTGCGACTCGGTGTACGGTAAATAAAGTCAATTTTTTATGACCACCGTCATCATTTCACAGCGCAAATAGGTTCTGGTCATTGTTTGGAAGTAAATAAACATAGTGAGTACTTTCGAAGGTCTTAAAATGTGATTTTCGCGACGACCAAATTTGGCATGTGGATTTTAACCGGTATTCAGTCGCACAAGGCCCCATAGCCCTATGGGCCGGCCAGAGTCAGTCACGTAAATAATGCGGTCGGCAACATAGGGCTATGATTCCACAGCTAAGGGAGCCCAGGAACTATGATCAACTGTACACAGTCTCTATGGGGGGGGGGGGGTAATTGTTCGTAAATGGAGTCAATTTGAAAGAGCAACCAATATTCTTCAAGCTGGTATTTTTTTAGATTTTATTTTTCATTCTGTTTGACTGTTTTTTCGAGTTTAAAAAATGTGAGCTGGCTGGGGCTTTCATTCCTTGTCTAATTTTTACACAAGATACCAGCCGATACCCCCCCCCCTCGTACAGTTGATTATAGTTCCTGAGCTCCCTGTCGTTTAGGTAGTTTTTATTTATTTCAGTACACAGAAGGCATGGATATTTTTTTTATGGAAATTTATAAAATATTTAGTAAATATTTATCCCAGAAAGACCTTTATGCTTCTTTCAAATTCATCCTTTTGACTATAGAAAAGCCATGAGTATTTGCATGTTCTTTTCAATCATGAGGGTATGGCATTTTACTACCATATTTATGTTACATCAGTGAATCTGAAATTTTTTTATTGGTCTAGTTGTTTTCAACCATCAATGACATTTATAAAACATCTATGAATATTTTATATGAAAAAATATTCATGCTTTTTTAAAACAGAGTGTATACAGAGTTTGGTTTATAAACATATATCATTTATTAATTTGAAAACTGTTGTTGACCAATCAGAACGATTGCTGCGATGTCACCACGGATGATTACACGTTCGTGAATCAGATGACCCATAGGATGATGTGTTCTTAGGCGTATCAAGCAGCCATTGGCTTTGCAGTACAACATGAAACACAGCACAAATTATTATAGCCAATCATGTTGTGTCAATTAGATTTGACCAAAATGTTTGAATAATATGCTATAAATTAGCTTTTTTAAAAGCACTGTAATGATGAATTGTTTCCCTAGTCTTCATATA